GCAGGGTGGGGGTATTTAACTGCCTTCCTGTCAGAACTTGGACAAACTTTTCTCTGACAGCACCCTTTGGAAGACAACATCTTCATGAAGGGCTCCCTGATCTACAACTCCAGAACCAAAAATGCCTACAAAAAAATACTTTGTATAACATTTTGGCCACAAAAATCTGCCCTAAGCTGACACGAGGCTATTTATAGCCACTGCTTTCTCCCACTCGGCATCAAGATGCACATCTAAACTCCAGCAACGCCAATGTGTTTGGTTAAGGGTTGGCCTGAGGTGGCGTTTCATGGCGCTCAAATCCACAAATCTGAACTCTAGACCCCTCCTACTCAATCACAGCCACACAGAGGCTTCCTGCTTGTCTGGCCATGTGCAGGGCTTGTCTGCAGGTGCCCATGGGGAAGCTGAGGCTCTTAGAGCCTTTGGGGATGAGTGACAGCTGAGGGCTGGGTGTGGCTCCTCCCCTTCTTGCCCCAAGCTGACCTCCAGTTCATGATGATCCTCTTGCCTTGGCCTCCTGAGTGTTGGGACCATGCCCGGGGCTTGTATGTGGCTGTCTGTTTGCATGTGTGGGGTGCATGTGCACTTGTTTATACGGAGGCCAGAGATTGGCATGAGGTGTCTTTTTGGATCAATCTCCACTTTGTTCATGGAAGCAGGGTTTCAAGAGGAACTCAGAGCTTGCCTGTCCGTCTTCTCCAGCTAAGCTTGCCCCAAAGTCTTGTCTCAACCTTCTAATCTCTGGGATTACAAGTGGCCACTATGCCTGCCTAGCTTCTCATGTGGATTCTGGGCATCAGAACTCTCAGTCTTGCTTGCCAAACTCTTTATTGATAGAGTCACTTCCCCAGACCCCACAATTCTTTTTTTTTTTTTTGTTTTTTTTTTTTTTGGTTTTTCAAGACAGGGATTCTCTGTGGCTTTGGAGGCTGTCCTGGAACTCGCTCTTGTAGACCAGGCTGGTCTTGAACTCACAGAGATCCACCTGCCTCTGCCTCCCGAGTGCTGGGATTAAAGGCGTGCGCCACCAACGCCCGGCTGACCCCACAATTCTTTAGACACATCTGGAAAGTCGTGGCTATTCATAGCACCCACAGCTCTGGCCTCCTCAGATAGTCTACAGAGCAGTGGGCTCACTCATTTTGGATAGTCGCAGACCCATTCTGAGGCCTATAAGTCTCTAGAACAGTGGTTCTAAATATGTGGGTCTTGACCCACCCCAAGGGCCATTGAAAAACACAGATATTTACATTACAATCCATTACAGTTATGGAGTAGCAATGACAATAACCTTATGGTCAGGAGTCAGCACAACACGAGGAACTGTAATAAAGGGTCACAGCATTAGGAAGGTTGAGAACCACTGCTCTAGAGTCTAGACCCTCTGCCCAGCCTGGAACCAGGGTAAGGGGAACAGATGCTGTCCTAACCTAACCCTCGTTGCCCCGTGAGCAACTTGTGCCCCTCGGCAGGTACAGGGCTGTCAGCAGCTCCCTGATAGCCTCAGTGGCTCCCAACCAAGTCATTAATCTTGTTCAACACAGACAGCACATCTCAGACCTGAAGCCATGCCCCCTTGACCTTTTGGCACACTTCACAGGACACAGCAGTCATTCCCAGGAGCCTCTACTCCAGAGGGCATTTAGCATTTGTCTTAATTCAGCCTGCCTATCTTCCCCGCTGAAACGCTTCCAGTTTTTGATTTTTATTTTTTATATAGAATATCATGTAGCCCAGGTTGGTTCCAAACTTGTTACGGAGCTGAGGATAAGCTTGAACTACTGATTTTTCTGCCTCCAAGTGCTGGGATCACAGTCATGGGCCACCATACGCAGCTACCGCTACACATTTTGCAAGGGTTGAACATTTCTTTCCATTTATGTCTGTCCACCCACCTATCCACCAGCCAATCCATCCTTCCTTCCATCATCCATCCTCCCTCCTACTCACCCATCTATCCATGACTCCCTCCCCATCCTGTGGCTAGTAGAAATTCTGTAGTTTCAGTGAGCTGGTGTCAAAGGAGAGGCTTCCATGGGCAGGAGCTGGGCTGTAAACTCCTCCCGTGTCTCATTTGCATATAGGGTCTCTCATTTGCATACACACTAGTCCCTCGACCCTGCTTGTTCCAGGCCCCAGCAGCAGGCTCTCCTGTGTGCTAGACTACAATGTTGAGCAAAAACAGATGCTGGCCACTCACCCTGTGGAATTTGTCAGTTTGGAGGAGACAGATGTGAATCAAGTAACCACACTCTTGAAACCATAATCACAAACAGCCCAGCCAGGCCTCAGCCAGGAGGCTCCTGGGAAGTGGGGACACTCCCAGAAACCAAAGGCCTGCCTGAGAATCAACCAGGAAAGGGCATCTAAGCAGGGGGCTGCAAGACAGGGAGTGGAGGTGAAGAGGCCAGGAAGGTGGTAGCTCAGCTGAACAAGGGAAATGAGGTCAACATTAGACACAGGCCCAATAACAAAGGTGCTGGTGGAAGTTGAGGAGAAGCCAGAAAAGGGACCGACCTGCCCATGGAGGGAGGGGGGGGGGACGGGACTCCAAGCCAGCAGCAGGCCATGCTGTCCCTTATTCTGCAACCTCCAGTCCTTCCCATTGGCTGTCCCAAGTGGAAGTCAGAGGCAAGGGAGTCTGGGAAATAGTTTATAGGCTCAAGCTGTGGACCAAGGGAAGTAGGGAATGACTTAGGCACAGCGAGGGAGGTGTAAAGACTGAGGTGTGGTGCACCTGGTACCCTTGGGAAGCGACAACCACGAGTTTCACCTCTGCTTCTCTCAGGTGAGGGGGCAGTACCTGCGGTTCGCTCTTTAACCCAAGAATGACGAAGTCCAAGAAGGGTTTGGAGCACGATGGAGCTCAGCACCAGAGCTGCTCTTTGAAAAGAGTAGAGCTGATGGGTGAGCAGCTGTCAGGCCCAGGGGAGGGGAAAGCAGGCAGGCACCTGCTACCCTCCCCAACCTGTACCCTAGGCATGGGTCCTTCCATCGGTCTCCAGCCCATGAACACTGACAGCAGAATGAAGCCAGAGCAGTGTACAGGGGGCCCAGTCACCATGGTGACCATCTGCTTTCTCCTTGCTTCCAAGTGGCCTGCTCTGCCCCTATGATCAGGGCCCTGACCACCCACCACTCCCCATGCCTCCACTGCCCCCCAGCCCAGTTGCAGGGGCCATTATACTGTCCACGTCCATCTCTGTTTTCTACTTTATCGTCAGCTCTGTCTTCCAGTCTGATCAATACCAGTAGCTGTGCAGTGGGGAGGGTAGATCAAGGCACACAGCTGGAGCTGTGGGGGCCTCTGGGATGCAACCTGCTTTCTCTGCTTCTCTCAGCGCCATGTTTGGCCCTTGCTTGAACTAAATAAACCTCCAGGTCCCCAGGAAGATGTGATGTCAAGGAAAAAAATCTGTTTTTCTTTTCTTTCTTTTTTTTTTTTTTTGAGATAGACTGGCCTTCAACTGGAAGAAGTATGCCTGCTTCTTCTTTTTTAATGCTATTACTTTTTATTTAGTGTGTATATGTATGTATGCATGATGCATGCATGAGTGCACACATGTGCCATGGCATTCATGAAGAAATCAGAAGGCAGCCTTTAGGGGTTGATTCTCTTCTTCTATCACGTGGGTTCCAGGGATTGAGCTCAGGTAGTCAGGCTTAGCAGCAAGCACCTTTAATCACTGGAGCCACCTTGCTGACCCAAGAAAAAGTTCTTAAGAAACATAGCAAGAGCATATTGGTGGTTTATCCCTTCCCAAGGGGCAAGATCTATGGCTGGGAAATAAGAAATCAAGTCATGGTTTTGGCCTTGTGTGACCTTGCATGAGGTACTGTGCTGGCCCTGGTCTTCCATGTCCATTCTGTTACCTTTGTTCCCTCAAGCCTGGCATGGAATTTCAGCCCATCAAGAACAAGCTGCGTGATCTTGGGGAAGGTGCCTAGTCTCTCTGTTACTGGAAATCATACCTGTCAATTTAGATACTGAGAGAATCAGGGTGACTCATACAGAGCTGAGACAAACTGGAAGCTCCAGATCACAGTGACAAAGGACCTCACTCAGGGCATCACCCTACCACCTATGTAAGTTTGGACATGGGGGGGTCTAACTCAGCCTAAAGAGAAGGTAGAACCAGGGATTGTATGCTCCTGTTCCTGCAGGCACTACCCTGCAGAGGTCAGAGGGAGCCAAGTGATACTAGGACAGGGTTCTCAACCTGTGGATCATGATCAAGGGAGTAGCATATCAGATATTTACAATATGATTCATAACATAGCAAAATTATAGTTATGAAGAAGCAACAAAATAATTTTATGGTTTGGGGTCATCAACATGAAGAACTGTATTAAAGAGTTGCAGCATTAGGGAGGTTGAGAACCACTGAGCTAGGACCTGAGCAAGCTGCAACTTTAAAATGTATTTCCCCTTCAGCAGGGGCCATTTCTGAGTATTGTTGGTCTGTGAAAAGAACACACTTTTAGAGCCAGGGTGGCAACACATGTGTTTTTGCACAGCCCAACAAAACAGACACTGAGTCCTGGCCTCTGAGCCCATGTGGACATTATCAGGCTGCTCAGGTGGGCCAGGGGTGCCTGCTCTGCAGCAAGGTGACCTGCAGGGCCAGCCTGGCTGTCAGGAGCTGAGGAGCCAAGGGAGGCATCAGGAAAGCCTCCTGATGAGGCCAGGAGCTGGTGCACCACAGGAATGACAGTCACCACAGGTGGGATTTGGGACATCTTGTCTAGTGTATAGAAAGCCTAAACACCCGCCTGGGATTAGAGTTCCATTAGCAGGTGTCCACTTAACAAGTATATCATGTGCTGTCAACAAAAGACATGGTTGGGATATGCATGAAAACACCATCACCATTTGCCTCAGATGGGAACTCCTTAGCCCACCAAAGGATCAAGATCAGCCAGTCACTGTATTAAGCAGGTTTTCTGGGACGGGGCTGGTGGGGGTGGGGGGGGTGGGGGACAATGACAGACAGACATAGAACTGATGAGGTGTTTATTATAAAGGGAGAGTCACTAGAATGACTTACACAGGAAGGACTTGGGGGTCCAATGATGGCTGTCTGCATGCTGGAGAGACTGAGAAGCCAGGAGCTGAAGGAGGCCGGAGGCCTCAATCAGGAGCCAAAGGCCTGGAGGATTATGGAGAGTCAGTAGAGAGGAGTTTTATTCCCGAGTCCATCCTTCCTGGGAGCCTTCACAGATTTGCCAAGAGGCAAGAGCAGCCCTCACAGTCACTACTGGACCTCCACACAGCAATACAAAGGCTAAGAGACTGCTTTGGGCAGCAACAGGGAAGGGGCTGGCGTGTGGCTCAGAGGCAGAGCACTAGACTGGCACACACAGAGCTCTGGGTTGCATTTCCAGCAACCCAGAAATGTGCACACAGAAAACCCCAAGCAGGAAGAATCAGGCACAATGTGGTGCCACAAGAAAGACACAGGGTGTGCATAGGCTGCAGCCCTCCCCACAGAGGGGACAGAACCTATCTGCTCATACTACAACATGGCCCAGCCTTGAAATTAGGGCAAACAGAATATGGGGTGTCCTAGCATATCAGCACTTAGAAGGTTGGGGCAGGAGATCAAGGCCATCCTCTACACATAACACATTCAAAGCCAGCCTGGGTTATCTGAGAACTTGCTGGGTTCCCTGAGACCTTGTTTAAAAAAAAGGGGGGGGGCAGGCGTGATGGCCGACTCCTTTAATTCCAGCACTGGGGAGGAAGAGGCATATGGATGTCTATAAGTTTGAAGTCAGTCTGATCTGCATAGTGAGTTCTGGGCCAGCCAGAGCTACAAAGGTATCTCCCCAGCATGGCACCCCAAATGAATGGACAGAAAGCAGGTGAATGATACTTAGAGCTGGGGGAAGAGCCGCTGGAGGGACTACAGTGGTGGCAATTTGGGTGGTTTCTCTTGGGGATGATGGATGTTTAAAAGTTGACCATGGAGTTAGCTATATGGCTCTGTGAACAATCAGACACCGAACTGTCACCTGCATGGTGGACTGTGTAGTCCGGGACTGTCACCTCTGTAGCTGGGTTTGAACTGGATATGGGATGGGGGGTGCACCCCCCCCCGGGGCAGAACATGCTGGTCTGTGAAAACTTAGCGAGGTACACCTGTGTGTCACATACTTACAGGAGCTTCAGGTTTTCAAAAGCACAATGCCCAGCCAGGCATGGGGGCTCACTCCAGCAATCTCAGCACTGGGGAGGACGAGGCAAGGGGGCTGCTGAAGTGTGAGGTCAGCTGGGATTACAGTGAGAACTCACAGAAGAAGACAAAGTGCCATCCTCCAGTTCAGCATCAGACACTGTGAAGAAGTCCAGGATAGGCCAGCCACTCTAGAGAGAAGACCAAGATGACAGCTGGGGCTAGGGCAGGTCCTGGTGACTCAGAGGGACATATGGACACAGCCTTCTTTGTGAGCCAGAATCTGAGGAAGCCACTGGGAAACTCTGGGTCCAAGGGCTTTGGGACCCGGCTGAAGGTACAGCTGCCGGTAGAGCCACACGCAGGATGGTGAGCAAAACTACCAGTTTCTGGTGCAGGACACTAAGAGGGACAGGAATGCTTTAATAGGGAAGTATTTGGAAAGGTAGGCCTGCAAGCCAGGAGCTGTACATTAAGGGTGGCAGGTTAGAGCAAGGCACTTGGAACAGACGGTCTGGGTTCAACTCCAGCCCCGACACTTCCCAGCTCTGTGACCTTGGAGACATGGGACCACTATTTGGAACCTTAGCACATTAAGTGAACATAGACCCTCCCCCCTGTACTTAGTAAGCACCCAGCACTTAGTGAACAACTGGCAATGATAACTATCTCCATCAGGACTAAAGTGCAGGACTAAAGCTGGCTTGCCCAATATACCCAGTGTGCACATGGGCAGTTGGAGATCACTCTCCCTGTCTAACTTTGCTTTCCTCCTCCCCTTGTGTTCTGCCTTTTCCAGAACTTTTGGGGCTTGGATGGATGCTTGGGAACCAACCACATCAAGGGGTTTCTGCTACAAATCAGAGCCTTGGAGATGCCAGTGGAGAGGGAATTTTCAAGCACACACAAGATTTATGTGAAGAGTCTGTCCTGTCAGGGCCCCGTGCAGGTCAGCCCTGTGTTCATTTATCAAAAGGTTTTTACAAGGCTCTGAAGTTCACCACAGCACCCTCGGGTTCCTGAACAGGAGGGCTGGGATGGGCCATGAGCTGTTGTCTCCTGGCCCCGATACCCTGGCCCTTCACTGTGAGCACAAGCTGGGATTTTCACACAAGGGCCTTTGCAATGTATGGAATGCTCCTGCCTACACTGTCTCAGTACCCAGAGATGGACAGTGAGCTGCAGCCTCCTTGCTCTGAGACTGGGGTGTCAGAGAGCAGTGGCTGCTGAGATGGGGTTACTAGCACACTGTGGAAGCTGTATGTTTAAGGAATTAATGGAATCAGTCCACACAAAGGGCAACAAAAGGGCCTGTGCGCTGGCTCGGTGGTAAAGGTACTTGGCACCAAGCCTGATGCCTGGAGTTTAAGGCACAGAACCCACACAGAGGAAGACCATTTCCCACAAATTGTCTCTGACCTCCACAGTATGATGCGGCAGACCCCTCTATCCTCTGTGCTGGTTAGTTTTCATCCCTCTGACACAAACTATTGTTACACGGGAGGAGGGAACTTTGACAGAGGCACTGCCTCCATCAGACTGGCCTGTGTGCAAGTCTGTGGGGCTTTTTCTTGATTGTTGGTTGATGTGAGAGGGTCCAGACCAATGTGGGCAGCATCATCCCTAGGCAGGTAGGTGGTCCTGGGTTGTCTAAGAAAGGTAACCGAACGTGAAGCAGTAAGCTGTGTTCCTTCATGGCTCCTCCTCCGCTCCTGCTTGAATTCCTGCCCTGACTTTCCTCAGTGATGGACTGTCATCAGGACCTGCAAACCAAATAAACCCTTTCCTCCAAAGGTGTTTTTGGTCATGGTATTTATCATGGAATAGAAAGCAAACTAGGACACTCCCGCTTTCTACCCCCTACCCCCATGCATGCACGTATGCATGCAATATATATATATATATATATATAATCTCTAAAATACAACAAAATGTCACCAGCCTCACCATGGTATCAGGAATTGCACCTTTGAATAAGTCCCTGCTTCTGGGGACCCGATTCCCTATTTCTAAAGCAGGGACAACACTTCCTCAGCCACCAGGCATAGCTGTCAAGTGCTAATGGGTATGACTGGCTCAGAGGCCCCACATCAGCTACTCAGACATTGTTTTTTTATTGTTCATAGTAACATTCTTTCCCTTTGAGGAGGATATTTTTTGCCAGTGTTCTGCCATGTTTGAAGCTCTTTCTGTGGAAAGTAGTGAAGTGCTTGCTCTGTCCAGATGGAAAGGGAAGGGAAGTGGGGGGTGGAGGTGGAGGAGGAGAGGGAGAGGAGGGGGGAGGAGGGAGAGGGAAGAGCAAGAAAAGGAAGGACAGTCAAAGATCAGTTTTTCTCTTTTGTCCCCAGCTAGCTGGAGGGCAAACACAGAGCCCAGGTTGCCTCTGTAGAAGCAGATGGATAGACGGTAACTGGGTCCTGGGAAGGATGCACACAGAGGAAGAGAGAAGTGACAAAAGGAACAGTGAGCAAGAATGTCAACACCGAAGGTTGGAAAAAGCTGGGTGCCTTGGGATAGCTGTAATTTGATTTCAGGCTCTTGGGAAGGAGGAAGCATGGAGCAGATGAAGATTGCAGAGGGGCAGTGTGATGCTGGTCAGATTTTTTATTTAATTTATTATATATATGTATATATATATATTTAATTTATTATATATTTGGTTTTTCATGCTAGGATTTCCCTGTGTAGCCCTGGCTGTCCTGGAACTGGAGATTTGCTCTGCAGACCAGGCTGGCCTTGAACTCGGAGATCTGCTTGCCTCTGCCTTCCCAGTGTGGGGATTAAAGACGCGTACCACCACTGCCAGGCTTATTTCTTTTTATATAATTTTATTCTTTGAAAATTTCAGGCTTATATAAAATGCATTTTGATCTTGCCTGCCTCCAGCCAAGGTTTTATTTTTTGAGAAAGGATTTTACTCTATAGCCCAGGCTGGCCTTGAACTTCCCATCCATCTCCAGGGTGCTGGGATTACAGAAGGTACCATCCTGCCAGATGGCCTGATAATTCTAGAACAGAAGGCACGTGAGGTTTGGAGTTCTGTGTCCCTGGTCCCAACATTGATTGAGCCCTTGAACCTAGGGCAGTACAAGGCAGGCTAGTTGGGGGTCAGCCCCTGGGGAGACACAGCCAGAAACAGACACAGTATGTTTGGTGCTGAGAGCTGAAGACAACTAGGGGAAGGCTGGGGATGCCCCACAGGCAGCAAAAATGTGAGCCATGCCCAGATGCCCTGCATGTCTCCACAGAACCTGTGGGCTGTGCCGTCCCTGCCCTGAGCCAGGGTTGCTGGGAGCTGCAGTGTTGCCCATGCCTTAAATAGTGATGGGTATGGAAGGAACATGGCCCCTCCACAGCCGCAGGCAGGAGGATGACTCTGCTCGGTACTCTGAGTCTAGATGCTGTGACTCTTGGCAGGCATGTGTAAATGGATGGCTCAATCCAGTTTGAGCTTCAAACATGTGAATGGCCAGGCTGGGGGCTGGGATGGCTTTGCAACATGAAGTAGATACTAAGGGATCTTGGTGTTCAAGCATCTGGCACCACACAGCTGGCTTTGTGTCCAGGCCAGAGCCTGTGAGTGTTGCTGGAGTTTTCTTGTCCTGCCAGATCCCACTGCTTCAGCCCCAAATGAACACACAGAGATGCTATATTAATTATAAAACTGTTGGTTGATGGCTAGAGCTTCTTATTGGCTAGCTCTGTCTTTATTATTAACCCTTTTCTATTAATCTAAGTATTTCCATGTGGTCTTGGCTTACCAGAGAATGCCCGGACCTCTATTTCCTTTAGTGGCTACATGGCGTCTTCTTGTGGTCTCTCTGCCTACCTTTCCTAGAATTCTCTTCATTTCCTAGTCCTGCCTATCTTCCTGCCTCTATTGGCCAAACAGTGTTTTATTCATCAACCAATAAGAGAATTGTATATACAGAAGGACATCCCCCAACATTTGAGAGCTTTGCTTTCATTAGATGCATAGTTGGGGACGCATGAAAGAAGAGAGAGGAGATTCTGAGACTATCTCTGGTCCATGCTGATCTTAGGGTGAATCATTCCTATCAGCTTTATATGGAGTGTGTGTGTGTGTGTGTGTGTGTGTGTGTGTGTGTGTGTTCCCACTCAATCTGCTGTTCCTATGGGCTGGTTTCTCCTTACTCTGAACCCAGTCTACTCATCTAAAAGCTGGGGCTCAATGACACAGCCATGGGCTCTGTGGAGATTCTGGAGCTGGCCCCTGCAAGGCCCAGGCTTGTGTTCAGCACTTACTCAGCATGCAGAGACACCTCTACTGCTGCACTCCACATTGGGGGGCATTGCATGGGTCCCTCAGCTCTTTTCCTTTGAGACAGGGTCTCACCGTGTAGCCCAGACTGGCCTTGACATTGAGATCCTCTTGCATTGGTCTCTGGAGAGCTTGGCCTGTCAGCTTTGCCTAGGTTCTGCTTCTCCCAGTCCTAAAAAAAAAAAAAAAAAAAAAAAAACAAAAAAGTTC